TTTTAAATATACACCTATTACGTACCTGCCCGTATGCTAGGCTGGAGGCTTTACTGAAAAGTGATTCCAGTAATTCAGATGGAACATTACGTGCCTATGCCATCTATGCAGCGAATGTGTAGGACTTGTGAAGCACAATGTGATTTTCTTTTGTGCGTATACCACCCCCGACAGAGTGCATGGACAGCAGTTGGCTATATTTGTGGTTATATTGATTGAATATGTGCATGGGTGGAGAGTGCCATAGTGTGCATTTTCTGGTTTCTCTTTGCTTCTAGAACACCCAGTTTACAGAGGTAGCAATTTTTTCAACCAAAACACAGAGAAATAGAAGTGTAGTCATCCACAGCCTACGAAGATGCTACCATGTTCCTTCCTGATAACTTTTATTTTAGATGTTGCACAGGGGGCCCCTTTACCTATTCTAGTTGAGAGGCACTCCTCATTAGGAAGAAAGAGATGTTTCTACTTCTGCAGTACCCTCTGAGATCCTTGTTCCTACAAGGAAGGAAGCCATAAGGAATTAAATTCTGGGACTTTATATGGAAAACTGACCATGGGATTTAGAGATTCGACTCATCTTTTCCTTCTGAATTCAAGTTTAATAGACTCTTAGAATGCCTTGGTTTTTGTGTTGTCTTTTTTTTCTGTTCTGCCGAAGTCTTTTCATTTGTGCTGCTTTAATATGCTACTGCTAGCTGCATGTGACTAAACTTAATTGGAATTAAATAAAAATTAGTTTGTCGCTCCTAGTAGCTGTGTGCTTATACCCAGCCACCACACATAGCTAGGGGACACCTTGTTAGATTGTGAAGATATAGTTAGCGCAGAGAGGTTTATTGGCCAACGGAGTTGTGATTATTCACATATTTGTCTAATAGGAATTAGGGGGTGAGGGAGAATACACCAACCAAAACAAAACAAAAACAACCCACCAAATTCCTTTTTGTGTTTTATGAGACAGGGTCTTGCTATGTAGTTCAGGCTGGCCTTTAACTCGTTCTATAAGTCAGACTGGCCTCGAACTTAGATGATCCGGCCTCAACCTCCCAAGTGCTGAGAGTACAGGTTTGTGCTACCATACCTCACACACATTCTTAAATCTGTAGAAGAGACAAATTTCGTACAAAGTGATTAGAAGAATGAATAAAAAATGTTACCACTTCAAAGCTTACCATCACACGTGTTATGGTTTGTGTCTGGATGTTCCCCCAAAGCCTTATGCAGTCATGGGACAGGCTTCCAGAGTGTTTGATTGATCCATGGTCTAAAGCTGGGATTATGGGTGTGAGCGCTATTTCCACCCCAGGGCAGGATACCTGCATACAGTATAAGAAAGAGCCTTGCGCTTTTTGCTGCTGCTTCCTTTTTACTCTTGCTGCTTTTGCTGTTTTCCACTGCCATGAACTGTTGCCTTCTGCCATGTACCACTCTGCCTTGGAGCCAGACTCATATGGACTGAAACTTCCACAAACTGTGAGCTAAATAAACCTTTCCCTCTTTAATTTGGGCATTGGGTATTTTGTCTCAGCAACGAGAGAAAAGTAACCAAGATAGCACCATGTTACAACGGTAGAGATACAGACAGCGCCTGAGTGCTTTCCTGGACTCAAAGAAAGTCGCGTACGAACTCTCTGTCACCAGATTGGTTTCATATTTCTTAACCGCAACACTGGAAGTCAGAATTACTTGCAAATGATTCGCACTCAGAATTTTGAGGATTTCCCTCCAGTGATTACTAAGGGTGGAATGGCAATGCTTGTACGTGTCTAGAGTATCAGTAGAACTCAGTCCTCACCCATAGTTTCTCTAACGACCCCACCAGAGGGAGGGAGTAAGCCTGGAAGAGGGGTTTGTGGAGGGGCTAGAAAGCAGAAGCACACAGAGCTGATGTGTTATCTGAGCTTTTGACCCCGCGAAATACTGAATTTAAGAATGTGCCAGGGACTTGGAGGAATTGCCCAAGGAAAGGATAGACTCTGTGGAAATGGGGGGGTGGTCTGTGAGTTGCAGGAGACTTGTAAAGGGGAAGTGGTAAGAAGGATGAAGATGCAGTGTGTCAGCATACTAATTCCCCAAGATGAGTCCACTCCTTATGTATCACATACTGATTTAAAAGGGGGTCTGAGTACATAACTCAGTATAAAGGCCCTAGGCTCAACCCTCAGAACTATTAGACAAATAAATGAAAAATTAAGGGGGAAAAAACAGAGGCAACCAGTAACTTCAAAAAAGTCAAGAAGTTGTATAAGAGGTGAATCTTAATCATACCACACTGCTTGTTCAGCAGTACCCATCCCATTGTTAAAATAATGTGTCTAGAATTAACAACAAAAAAAGAATTACATAAAAAAGATTGGGAAAATGTGGAAAGTTAGGCATAGAATTAGTTGTAGAAATTTTTAAAAATGTAACTCTTCTCTGGGTGAGATGATCCACAGTTTATATTGAAAATTGGTATTGCAGAAGGTACTTCGTCCTGCAAAGTATTTTTTGTATCACAAGCAGGCTACTCAGAAACTTGGAAGTTAGTACCAAAGAACACCAACGATAATAACAGCAGTTCTAAGATTTGAAAGCGGCTGCTTTAGGAAGTAGAAGTGGGGAGTGGGGCTGAGGGAGCTCCTACAAGCTCTCTGCTCATAGTTTTTGAAAAGGCTTTAGACTCACCTGTATTTTATTTTAAAAAGCCACCTTCATGTAGTATTTTGAAAAGAATAAAAATGGATTGGGAAGTGAAAATATGTAGGGCATACCCTCTGTGAAATGGTAAGAGTGTTAGTGTGCTTTAAAAGAGGGCTCCTCGGTTGGGGCAATATTGGCGTCAGCGTTGAATAGCTGTCTTTGCTAAGGAGCTGCGCTGGGCCTTCAAGCGTGCCCACCAACCATCTGCCCATTAGATGCCAGCGGATTCCTCCCGAGTTCTGGCAACTAAACCACGTCCGTTCCCTGGGGAGCAAAATCACCGCCGCTTGGGAACCGGTGATTCAGAGGACTTAACAGTCTGTTATTGAACACGTCGTATCAGTACGAATGGGAGCCGTTGGATACTGGTAACATAGGAAACAGGGCTTTGAACTGAGAACTTGAACTGTACCGAGGACACCCTGGCCTGGCACTGCGGTGGCCCCTGCCACTCCTGTCTGTCATGTCAGGTTCATTCAGGGCCCGCTGAGCTAGGAAAAGTCACCTGGAGGAAGCTCCTGTTCTGCTGTCATGCTTAGTGGCTTCTGAGAACATAGCTGAGATTTTTCACATTGTTTTGCTTATAGCACAGTTTGGATTTCTCTGGAGTTGCGGTGCTGATCACTGCAACCAGTCTGGAAACATATTGCACCCTTTGGGTAGTCCTAGACTCAGTCAGCTGTGGGAAATGCACATCCTCTCTCCCTCAGGGTGTCTCCATTCCTTCCTTCCTTCCTTCCCTCCTTCCTCTCTCTCTCTTTCTTTCTCTCTTTCTTTTTTCCCACAAATTCTTCCATAAATTCTAAACAAGTATTTGCCTCTAGAATTTACAAGAGAAGTCTGCAGGAAAATAGCCCCTTACATTGCTTTGATGTGGAGGAAACCTCGTAAATAATTTAATGTCCTTATTTTACAACTGAGGAAACTTAACCAGAGTTAGTTTGTTAGCATTAATTAGGAGCAAAGGGGCCTGCAGGTCTGTTCTTTTTTCACTCCTCTCTCCCTCTCCCTCCCTCCTCTCCATCGCCCTCCCTCCTCTCCCCCTCCCTCCTCCCTCTCCCCCCCCCTCCTCTCTATCCCCCTCCCTCCTCTCTCCCTCCCTCCCTCTGTTGGATACTGAACCCAGGGCGCTGTGTATGCTGAGCAAGTGCCCCACCGCTGAGCTACATTCCCAGCCCTTTCCTTTTCTACACTGTTACCTTGGTTCAGGAATTTAATTCTTTCCACAATTGTAGTCGCAAACTGAACTGGATGAGAACCAAATCAAATTCTCCCTTCAGGTCTGCATTAAACCTAACCATTGCGTTTCATTCAGTTCTCATCCTATTCGGTTTGCAAACAGAATCATGGGAAAGAATTAAGCTGGTGAACCCACGTACCACTGTATTTTGAGACGAGGTCTCAGTAAGTTGCCAATGTTGGCTTCACAACTTGAGATCCTCCTGCCTCGGCCTCTCAGGTAGCTGGGCCTGCAGGTGCACATCACTGTGCCTGGCTCCTTTATTTCTACTCAGATATACAGTGTGCAAGCAGCTGGTGGTGGAAGGATGGCAGCGTGGGCTGTGCGTTGACTCAGGTTTGTGGCAGTTCTTGGGAGCTCCACCCAGGGCCCCAGTTGAAAGCCAACTCTCTGTCCGCTGCTCACTGTCTCCATTGACCTTGAATGACCTTGTGCGTCTGGTTAATACCTCATCATTCTTGCCCTTCCCCTAGCAAGTTCTTCCCCAAGTCTTTGTGCAGACTTTGCAGCGTGAGATTTTGCTCAGTTGCCCTCACTTCTAGAAGTGCCTGCATTTCTGCTCCGTGTGCTCTAGCGTGGCGCAGGAGATGGTGTGGTCCCGAGAGCCGAGAAGGCGGCTTGCTCCTCAGAATCCCCTGGCAATGTTGTGGTCACGGTCAGCCTGAGATGGCGCTGACTCTTGAGCGGGAATGTGGAAGAGTCTCGCTGTAGCACTGCACAGAGTGTTAGCCTTGAAGCTACCGAGACGGCTGTCTGCCGCCTCGTGGGGTCGCTCTCTGAATCCACCTCACAGGGTGCGTTCTGAACTCCGTGTCCTTGGGTGATTCTGTGACTGCATGAGCATCGTAAAATGTGCATCCACAAGTGAAAATGGCCTCAACATCCCTGGGTGCTGTGATGTGATGGGAGCACTGCCCTACGTGTGGCCCAAGGTCACATGTAGTGTGACCTCACGCAGTGGGTGACCACACTTACTAAATGCAGATACCGGACCGCTATAGAGGGGCCAGGACACATGGGGCTGTGCACTTGTTGACAGTTCTGCCTTACTTACTTTTGTGTTATTCCGTTGCAGGTAACGGAAGATAGAAGAGAGATCTAGACAGGAAGTGGGAGCCAAGGAAGGGATTTGCCTACGCCTGCTTCTGAGTAAGTGAAATTGTCGAGCGGATTTCTTACTGCAGGACGAAGAGCCTGCTACCTGTTGTATTTTTTTCCGTGCCTGAAAAACAAATGATGTGTCGACTTTACGAGCTAGAAATGTGATTTCTCAAGCTCATAATGTCATAGGGATTTTTCAACCCCTCCTTGAAAACAAAACCTCAGAAACCCAAGAATGCTGAGAACCTTCATCGGAGGTTCAAAGCCTGGTTCTGTGTGCTTTCTTCAGGGCTGGGGATGGCACCAGGGCCTTAGGGTTAGGGCTAGGGTTAGACTTAGGGCTAGGCCCATGCTCTGCCACTCAGCTGCACCCTAACCCTACAGGGTTTTATTTAGCTCATAAAACTGAGCATAAATGAATTTTATTTTATTTATTTATTTTGTTTATTTGTTTCCGGTACCAGGAATCGAACTCATGACCTTGTGCTTGCCGGGAAGGTGCTGCGCCACTGAGCTAAATCCCCAGCCCTGTAAATGAGTTTTAGAAAAGAATAGAAACACTTATTAAAATATGTGCACCACTGCATAGCATAGTTTCTGATTTTTTTCTCCCACATACATTTTTTTTTTTTTTTTTTGGTTTTTCTCCGGTACCAGGAACCGAACTCACGACCTTGCGCTTGCCAGGCAGGCGCTTTTGCCACTGAGCTAAATCCCCAGCCCTCTCCCATATACATTTGAGATATTTGTTTTTCTTCTGGTTTATAGAAAACAAAGCAAGAAGTGTTTGGCTGGGTCTTGTCTCCTATGTTCCTCTGGGTATGTGCTGGGAAATGACAGCGATACAGCTGTTTGTACACTGACCAGTTTCCCGTAAAACCTGTGCTCAGGCCCTGTCCCTGGGCAGCGAGGCAGGTAAGAGGGACTCTGGCAGGCGTCTCTCTTCAGGCTGCGCTCTGTGCAGTTTGTCATCAAAGTAGAGAGCTGGAGAGAATGGGCCCTTTGAAGTAGACGTGTTGGCCGTCGTGAGGCATAGTGAACAGCACGTACAATCCCGAGCATCCTTCCAGCCTCCCGCTGCTGGGATGCCTGTTCTTTGCACCTGCTGTGTATGCACCACTGTGGAGTGTACGGAGATGTGGGATGAGCCTTCTGGGAAAGCGCCGCTGAAGTGTGTGAAAGGGACCACTCCGGGCCTTGGTGGAAATGGGCGCCTCCCAAAGGCGTGGAAATTCTGGGACAGGCTCCATCAGCAGGAGGTGGAGCAGCTAGGGAAGGCAGCTCTGGCAGGTTGGGTAGGATTTTGATGCTACTGGAGAGGTGCACCCCCCCAGGGAGTCCATGAGCAGAGATGAACCAGGCACGAGGGAGCAGTTACTGTAGGGGAACATAGGTGAAGCAGCAGCCAGTTGGTCCTACCTACCACGTTCCCAAGGGGGACTTAGATCGCAGCGCCATCTTTATCTTCCTGAACATACCTGGGGGACACTGCCCCTCAGGGTAGGGGATGGGATGTCATTTGAAAGAGCATCAGAGGTGATTCTTACAGCCCCCGAGACAGAAGAAAGAGGAGTAAATCCTACATAGTCCTAATGCAGACAATCCCTGGCTTAATGACAGTTCGGCTTCACAGTTTTTGGCCTTGGTGAGGGTGTGCATTGGCATGCAGAGACACACTTTCAATGTTGAATTTTTGATAGTGGCCCACCCTAGCAATATGTAGTGTGCAGTTCTCAGCCTGCCCCAAAACGCTGTGGGTCAATAGCTACGGCTAGGATGTCAGTAGGTGAGGTAAATTCCGTGCACGTCCAGCTTCCACGTATGTCATACATAATGGAGTTCTCAGGCACAGAAAGAACCCGTCATCAGATGAATTTATAGCAGTTTGCACCTGGCTCTTTTGTTGCTGTAGCAGCTTCACTGAGGTGCAATTCACAAAGTAGATAATTCATCCATTTAAAGTGCACAGTTTTGTGATCTTTAGTATATTCACAGGGTCGTGCAGTGTTACCACCATCGATTTCAGAGCATGTCATCACTCCCAAAAGAAACTCGTCGCCCTTAGTGGTCTCTCCCCATTCACTCCTGCCTCCCAAGCCCCTGGTAACCACTCATCTACCTCCCGTCTGTCTGGGTTTGCTTCCTGTGGGCTTTCCATGTGCGTGGGATCATGCCCAGGAGGGTGGCTTGTTTGTCTGCCATCATCCTCTCAGCATATTGTTTGTGTGGTTCACCCGAACGTATCAGCACTTTATGTCTTCTATAGCCTTGAGCTGTTCCACTCTATGGCCTTGAACTCTCGATCATCCTGCCTCAGCCTCCCAAGGAGCTGGGACTAGAGTTGTGCCATCACACACAGCTTGAAGCTTTCTGTTCTGGAATGACGTTAGACTCACAAGGAATTGTAAATGTGGGCTGGGCGTGTGATGTGATCATGTGTGTGTGGGTGCATGCCACCCCACCGCAATTCAGACCCAAAGCTTCCTGTTGGTGCAGGAAGCCTCCTAGTGCCACCCTAACTCCTGGCAGCCACTGTATTCTCCATCCTCCCAATTCTGTCCTTTCCAGGGGCGATGAGGATGGACTCCGGGAGGGTATGGCTCTGCAAGAATGACTGTAGACTCAGCCTAGGTCCAGAGCTCCATCCGCGTGCTTGTGTCTGTCTGGGGTCCGCTTATCTGTAATGCAAAGTGGGTGTCCTCAGAGTGGGCATACTGCTGTTTATCCATCCCCTTTCAGAAGGGTGCTCTCACCTTGGGCCGTTCCAGGTTGTCCTATGGCGCCTCTTTTGCCTTGAGGACCCGTGTGTGGTAGAGCGAAGGAGCTGGGGCCATTCCACAAGCCCCCACATACATGCTGTGTTGCCTTTCAGCTGCAGTCTGGGTGGTGGTGGTGGTGGTAGTGGTGGTGGTGGTGTGTGTGTGACTTATTGTTAGGCTGTGATTTCTGTCCTATTCTCGCCAGTTTCTTTTTATTCATGAAATCAGAGGGCACAGTTGACCCAGATAGTCATCTTTTAAGGGGGCCTCCACCATAATAGGAAGGGTGTCATGGAGCCTGCACACATCCCAGAACTGGAAGTGATCACAGAAGTGAAACAGCGCCTCCTGTAGGCCTCAGCGGCCCAACACGTTCTGTCAAAGATCAGCCTGGGTGCAGGTCACACTCGGAGAAGAGATGCAACAAGCTCCAGACCCAGTCTCGGAGGTGGAGTGGGGGTTGTTAATCCATCTTATCCAAACCCTCAAGGAGCCTTCTGGACCCGCCTGTTGATTTGAAGATAGGATTCAGGTGGACAAGCCTCTAGAACTATGGCCCTTTATAGCATCCTGATTAGTGCTGTTCAACCAAAGGACTTGCTCTTTATTTTTTCTCCTTCTCTTCCAACCTGTGGCTCCAGATTTATTCAGTATTTTTTTCTTTCTAGTGACATTTGTCTTCAGTGGCCAGAACACACACACACACACACACACACACACACACACACACACACACACAGCTTGGATGTCGCAGCGTTACCTGGAAACCTGCTTTCTCCCAAATAGCCTGCTGGTTACTTCCTTTCCTCTCAGACCTGAGAGGCCAGGGATGTACTGGGTGCCCTCTTCCCAGGGACGGTGGAAGGAAGGACCAACAGCTTTCTTCCCCATAGCATCTGAGTCTAGATCCACTCTGCCAGTCTGCTCCTTTTGATTGGTGAATTGAGACTGTTTACATTAATGGTTATAGCTGATATGTGTTGGCTTCTCCTTGTCATGTTGTTTTCCTGCTGTTGGTTCCTCCTTTTCCCCTCTGTTTAATGCTTCCTCTGCATGTGGTTCCTTTCTATTCATGTTATGGTTTGATCAATCTTGCAGTCTTACATCAGGTAATCTGAGCAACTTCATTGTGTAATGTAATACCCACTGTGAATCCCTATCATTTTGTTTTGAAACCCTGCATCATTTTTACTGTTTTGGTCTATGTCTTTGTTATTTTGTTATTTTTTTTTTTTAATTCTCTTTAAAATAAAAAAGAAGACTCTGAGTCTAATGGACCCGAATTAACACATGTGGTCAGAATTAAATCCTTGAAAATGGCTCCCGAGGGGGCTGGGGATTTAGCTCAGTGGCACAGCGCCTACCTGGCAAGCGCAAGGTTATGAGTTTGATTCCCGGTACCGGAAAAAAACAAAAAAAACAAAAAAGAAAGAAAATGGCTCCCGAATGTGGTTGCAGAACGGGCACAAAAGAGCTTGAACGTGATGGAAAAGCCTCCTGTGACCTTTCCCACTGTTTCCGGCTCTTTCCTCAGCTGAAAGGATGTTGTTATTCTTTATGCTTCCTTTCAGCTCTCTGTATAAATCTGGGCTGCTCCCAAATACGTCTTTCTAAGTATAGGACAGTGGTTCTCAATTTTTCCCTCCTCAGCGGTGTTTGGAGACAGTGTTTGGAGACATTGGATTGTCCCAGCTGCCGGTGGGGGCTGCCACCGGTACTAGCAGTAGAGACCAGGGTACTACTAAGGATTCTTCGGCAGCGGAACAGTGCCCGCCGCAGATGGTCCAGCCCAGGGGCAGCGGGGTCCAGACCCAAAGCATTGCACTTATGAAACATCGGCCTCTGTGTTCTTGCATCAGGACCGCAAGGGTGAAGAGTTGGTATTTACTTTCACCCGCAAACGGAACTCACGCTCAGTACAGTTGTAAACTTGGGAAACAATGAGGATATTATATTGGTGTGCTCAGCCTGTTCTGACAAAACCAAAGAGCGGAGGCAGGGAGGCTTAAACAATAGACACTTATTTTCTCACATTTTCTGGAGGCCAGTTGTTCAAGATCAAAGTGCCAGAAAATGTCACTTTCCCGGTCAGCTCTTTCTCCCAGCTTCCCGCTGTGGCCTCACATGGCCTTTCATTTTTGCCCGTGTGTGGAGACGCAGAGATCGGCTGTGACTCCTTCTTCTCATTAGAAGGCCACCAGGGCTATCGGGCCAGGGCCTCACCTTGTGACCTCGTTTAACCTTAATTGCCTCTCCACTAGCCCTGAATCCAGATAACCACCACAGGGC